TCCCACTCCCTGTAGTGGCTTTTCCAAATCTTTTCATCTTTCCTCAAACCTCCCATGGTTCTCAGGTGATAACCTTGCCTTATTTACTGTAAGAAATTGAGTCCATTTGTCAAGAGCTTCCTCTTCTCCCCCTCACGTCTCCCGTGTCTCCCTCCCATGCCTTCTGCCACCATCTCTACCCCTTAGAAGCTAAGTGCCTCCAGCACTTAGCACAGTGCCTGGCACCATGTACATCCTTATTGACTTCTCTGTCTCCCATCGAGAGAGGGCCCTTCTTGCCAAGGCAAACTTCTCTACAAGCTCAGATGATCCCATTCCATCCTATCTTCTGCAGATGGTCCCTTCTGTCATCCCAACTCTCTTACTTCAATCTCGTCTGTTAGCTGTTTCCCTGCTACTTACAAATATGCCCATGTTTGCTCCCATCCTTAAAAATAACCTTACCTGATCATCCATCCCAATTATTGTATCATATTCCTCCCTTTTTGTGGGAAGGCCATCTACATAGGTATTTCCACTTCTTTCTCACTTTTTTTTTTTGGATGATGATGCGGTCGGGGTTAAGTGACTTGCCAAGGGTCAAACAGCTAGTAAATGTCATGTGTCTGAGGCCGGATATGAACTCAGGTCCTCCTGACTCCAAAGCCAGAGCTCTATTCACTGGACCACTTAGCTGCCCCTTCCTCTCACTTTTTAAAAAACTCTGTACTGGCTTTTGAGCTAGTTGTTCAACCAAAACGTTTCTTTGGAGAAGAACAGTTACTAACCATTTCTTCATTGACAAATCTAATGGCTTTTTCTTAGTTCTCATCTATCTGGACCTCTTTTACAGCCTCTGACACTGGATCACCCTTTTCTTGATTTTTTTGGTATTTGTGACACTACTCTTCTGGTTTTCCTGCTCTGACCACTCCTTAGTTGAGTTAGCTAGATCTTCCTCTAGATCAAGTCTGCTAATGTGGGGATCCCGTGGACCTCTGGCCCTGGGCCTTTTTCCTCTATTATTTCTGTTGGTCACCTTGGGAGCTGCCAAGGATCTCGTTATCATCCATGCCGATACTTCTCAGATTTTTTTTATCCAGCCCTAACCTTTGCCTCCCTCCAGTCTTGCATCTCCCATTGTGTATTGGGCATCTTGAACTAAGTATCCTGTATACATCTTAACTCAGTATCTCCAAAACTGAACTCGTCTTTCCCCCAAGCCCTCCCCATGTTCACGCTTCTCTATTAATGCATCACCATCCTCCTAGCCACCCAGGCTCACAACCTAGCATTCTCAACTCATTTTTCACTCTTACCCCCCACACGTATCTAATCTGCTGCCAAATCTTGTACATTTTACCTTTGTTATT